AAAAGCCATCACTAGCCAATCCCAGCCTGATATTACGAGGTTCCTGACTAAATGTTGGGTGCCTACTGTCAAAATCCTTCCATGCAGGCGTATCTCTAGGATGACTCATTCGTCCATTTTCACTTGGACGTGCACGGTGATGCCAAGTCATCGCCACCGCTGTCTTCTTACACTTGAATAGCCTCTGCAGCCTCTGTGTAATGGGAAAGTATCGTACTAACTTGATAGGTATATCCTTCTTTTGACCATGTACTTTCTTCTTATATCTAGCCTCTCCGCAAGTAGGACACTCCGTATTATCTGAATTTTCTTTCCAATAAATTATACAATCATTAGGACATGCGTGTATCATCTCACACTTTAGACCCAGATTAGACATTATCTTTTGAGCTTCGTACCAGTTATCAGGCACATGGTTCCCCGGAGGCATAGAATCTTTAAGAAACTTGAGGAGCATTGTAAATGACTTGTTGCTCCATTTATTTAGACATTTAATTTGGAATAGATGGACAAACCATGACAGCGTGGAGTGTTTTGCATTCTCATAAATGGGCCTCTTAGCATCATTCATGTACTTATCATAATTGTCTTCACGATGCCCTCCGAAAGGAGGATCTTCAGCAGGGCTAGTGTTACCAAGAGCTACCTCAACCATTTCCTCCATTTCTTCATCAAGAAATAAGTTGTCATCTTCTTGTTCTTCTTCATCTGCATCACTGAGACCTTCAATTTGTCCATGATATACCCAAGTTTTGTAATCGCTAACAAAACCATTCTTCACAATGTGAAGTTCTACTTCTTCCTCCAATTGATGCAACCTATTCGCGCATAATTTACATGGACAAATGAGTCTCCCATGGCGGACCATATCGTGTCTACGTACAAAGTCCATGAAAGCACCAACTCCATTAACGAAAATAGATTGCATGCGTTCTGCACGACCCACGTACATCCAATCTTTATCTCTGATGTAGTTACGGGCCATGATAACCTAAATAAAATAATTTATTAGTAACGACTTATAAAAACATGGATTTAGGAATAAGCTAAGCTTGATCATTACTTTGCTTTGAATATAGGGTTACAATTAAAATGTAAGATAAACTAAAGACTCTTATAACTCTAAACCAATCCAGATAAAGGCATTGCATTCTCCTTTAATAGTCTCTCTTGAACTAAAGACTCTTTTGCACGCAGACACAAACACCCCATTCAGTAGAACTCACTCTTTGCTAAGTGCTTTCTCAACCGAGCTTCACATATTCAAGAAACTTCCCTAAAAATGAGAAATTAAGTAATTCACGAGTGTTTTTTGACATATACCATTAATATCAATGTTATAACATTCCTAAATTTTGTACCGCTAAGCAAAAGAAACATTCCTTTTTTTTGATAAATGTTGGAGAGCAAGGAGTTAGAACATTCCTAAATTTTGTATGGCTAAGCAAAAGAAACATTACTTTCATGGAGTAATAGTTTGCATAAATTTGAAATAAGCATTCCTGGCATGAAGAACGACGAAATCATACAGAAAATATTTGCATAGAAGCAGGCGCTGAATTTGGGTGTATCATTCGCAACAAAGATCAGTGAGGAAGGTCACTTTTGAGGTTAATGAAACCTCCCAGGGAAGTAAAATGTATTTGACAAGACATGTACTGAAGATAAGGTGAATACGGTGAAGACAGATCAAATGTTTCAAAATATCATCAGACTAGTGTACAATAGTATATGCCAGAAAACAATAAAGATTTTATAATAGTGACATGATAAATGTGATGGACTAAGTAGAAGTCAACAATTTTATAGAATTATCGCAGAGACAACAGAACAAGAAAACTCTCACACAAAAAGACATGAAAAATGCAAGTACTCCAACAAACTCATGGTTTGAAAGATACATGAAAACAAAATCTTTCAAACTTGGCGGAAAGCAAAAGGCATGCTCCTCTTTAAGCATGTCATCAACATGAGTTCTAAATGTTTCAGAAGGATATCACAGGAGCTAAAATATGAATTATCTGAGTTGTAATTATTATGATTAAATAAGCTAGTGGTTGAATAATTCATATGAAGATCTTTATTGATAATGGGCAAATGTTCAAATAAACCAGAACCTCAAACATGTCCAAAATGACCATGCCGCGTTAGCCTGGTAACGATGTTATTTTGGACAGGAAGATTCAAACTAATGAATGATCATGCTGCTTTAACCTGGTAATGATATAGTACTAAACACTATATCATTGTTTTTGTCATGGCTTAAACCATATGGCGAAGCTTGTGTGTTATTGTTTACATTGTTTTGCCAAGGCTTGTGTGTTATTGTTTACATTGTTTTGGGTTGGATGTCAACATCTTACAAGGATTCATAGCAGAGTAAGTTATGATAGCCAATAAGAGTGATATTTTGGGTTGCCAATAAGAGTGAAATTTCACAGACAGAAGTGTTCATACGCTTGTCTCTCAATGTTATTTGTTGCAATTTGCATCCTTGAATTCTCCCACGATGCTTGTGCGTCAGATTTTACGTGCACACGCTTGTATCCTGGTATAATTTCTAAGTAATATTAGTACCTTTCTGTATTATTAATTCATACTAGGACTCTATTATGGCCTGACAGTTCCGGCATTTCCATTGCAGAGAGGAATTTCAATTGACAGACTCTGCAATTGTGCCATTAATTGTAAATTCCTGATGCTAACAGCGGTATATCTTTTTTGTTTTTCCTCCAGGTTTTTGGATCTACAGACTGTTTGGGTTCCTTCTATAAGTAAGAAGAAGAGTTTACAAAGCAGGTAGACAAGAGAGGTCAGTTTTCCCCTCAAACCTATGCATATATCAAGCACTTTTCAGTTTGATAGGTTAAAACTAATCATTCTAACATATCCAATTATCTGATATAAATATGCTATTGCCAAATCATTCTCCATGTGACATATCTCACTGGAGGAATAGCTAGTTACACCAACAAAGCATTGGCCTATCAAGCCTAACAGATTAATTATTAGCTACCATATCACTGACACAAAAATAAACATGTCAAGAATAAATCCATGGTAGGTGGAAAGAAAGTTGGATTAAACTAAAAGGAAAGTAGAAGAAGAGGAAGCACATGGAGTGTTACATTCTTTTACGGATACATCATCACCATCACCAAACTCCAAAAGAACAGAAAAACAAAGTGGTACATACCATACAAATACATGTTAAGCAAACTGCAAACACCATGTCCCTGCTTACCATCTCAGACTTGGAGGTCTTTGCTGGGATTTTTCTGCATGACTTGTAGTTGGTTGATATGTGATTATGGTAAATTTCAAAGAACTCTAGGTATCGATGATATACTGGTGTAGCCGAAGGCATATACACCACACAACAGCAGCAACAATATAAATTAGCATTCTATATATCTCAATGATGTAAGTTAACATAATAATATCTAATATGAGGGTAGGATCTCTAACGAACACAAATTAATTAGGTTTAGGGTTTTGTTGAGAGTAGATAATTACAGAGGATAAAGGGCCGACTTGAGGAGGAGGCGGTGGAGGCGGAGGAGCAACACGACCCGAACCTATGAATTGGCGAAGGTCAACGCTGCAGAGGAATCGATGGATGCGGAGGAGGAGACGGCGGAGGATCGACAGCGGCGCAAAGATGAGGCAGAGGTGCTTCCGACGAAGATGAGGCGGAGGCGGAGGCGGAGGCGGAGGCGATCGGGAGTAGATATGAAGGAGGTGGAGGCGAAGATCACAATTAGATGAGGCTGGTGAATTTTGGGGATCGATCAAATACTTTTGGGGGACGCGCGGGTGAATTTTGGGGGACGCGCGGGCGATTTTCGGCGATTTTCGGCGAAGATGTTTCAACGCGATTTTCGGCGCAGATGTTTCAACCCGCGGGTGAAGTTTGGGGGGCGCGGGTCCTAAAAAGTAAAATGGCAATTTTTTTTTACCCTAGCATCCTGCTCCCAAACGGTTGTAACCCGTTTGGGTTGAAATATCCAAACAGTTTAACCCGTTTGGGAGACCCGTTTGGGATTATCTAATAGCCCAAACAGTTGTACCCGTTTGGAATAAGTAACCCAAACGGTTGTACCCGTTTGGGCTATTTCGATTTGCCCAAACGGTTCTAATAACCGTTTGAACAGCCCAGTTTTGTACTAGTGTATATTATTGTTGAAATAACGAGTAGACCCATACTGGTAGTATACTAGTTGCATAGAGCGTGACTACTACTTTTTTTTGGATAACGAGATTTTACTACTTGAGTCTACTTCTATTCCTATTCTTTTTCATTTTTATTTTGCTAAATGAGGTGGTAGTTTATATGCAACATCCTCTCTTTTATAATTTTATTGCCTATATATTAAGGAGGAAAAAAAAGAGGAAGCGAGGGTCGTGAAGGATGAACTGTTAGGGAATTCAAGCTACTCAACCACCTGTCAAATATGAACTCTCTACAGAATTTACCCTATCGGATCTTGTGTTAAGACAATAGAAAGAAGAAATCACAGTAAAATAAAAAATTACAAGAAAAGGAGAACACCGAGTTTTAACGAGGGTCGGTAACTTACCTACGTCCTCGGGAGCCACACAAATAATTTTCTTTATATCAAAGAAGATTACAAGCTTGCAAAGAGCAGATCTCAAACTTGAGATCTCTCAAAAGAGAAGCAACATAAACTATATGTTCTTCTTTCAAGGCGTGAGATTTTACAACTTGTAAAATCTCTTCTCAAATCAATACATGAACTCTCTCTCTCTCTCTCTCTTAGATCCCCTTCTTAATTTCCCCCTATTTAATTTCCTCAAAATCACAGATTAGGGCTCTGGACAAAAAACGAAGAAGGAGAGAGGGAGCGATCGTTGCAGCTAGCTTGGCGCTTTTGGTTCCCTTAAATTAGGGAAACCCTAGCCAGCTAGATCCCAGTTAGTCGTGAGGCTGGATCTCGACCTCACCTGCCGAGCTTTCTGACCTTGCCTGACAAAGTCGCCCACGACCTCGACCTCGCCTGAGTCGGAGCTCGCCTAAAGGTCACCTCCTGCAGCTCGACCTCACCCGAAGTAGTCGTCGAGGTTTAGATCTACACCCCTTCTTCTAACATGAACAACATGAAAAGTGTTGGGGGCGAGGAAATGAAAGTGATCGCATGTCTTTTTTTCCTCCCTCCAAAGAAAGTACTTTTAATATGAAAGCCCCAGGTTAGCATAGATTTGAGAATCTTTTTCTTTATTTTATGACAGAATACAATCACAACCTTGAATTAAAAAGTGGGTATATTTCACTATGAATCGATGAAAAATTTGGTCGTTTTTTCACATAACCACAAAAAACTTTAAAGCTCTCTCTAAACTCCCTATAATTTTCGGGATTTTAGAGAACACTTGAAACATTTTGATTTTTTTATTTGACCCCAGTACAATTAATTTCTGATGTTTATGAGACATTCTCAATTTGGGAACTCAAAATATGGGTTGACATTTTTATGACGGTTAAGTAAAAAAATGTTTTGGAGTTTTCTGAAATTTTCAACGTTATTAGGAGTTTAGTAAGCACTAGTAAAAAACTGAGCATTTGCGACGAGGTATTGGCGACGGATTTGAAATCCGTCGCCAATACAAACATTGGCGACGGAACATTGGTGACGGGATGGTTCCTATAGCCTATGTTTGTATTGGCGACGGATTTCAATCCGTTGCCAATGTTTTTCCGTCGCCAATACGTACT